TGTTAAATGATAAAACTTGATTTAGATAAAAAAAGACTTATATTTGCACTTGAACTTATGTTAATGAATGAGTACGCGCGGCGCTCTTGATGGCTCAATGCGAACTGATTTGTTGAATGAAATATGAAATATCGATGAATTAGGTCAACGCGCAAATTGATGAGTTTACATAAATGTACGTAGCTTGCTCGTACATATTCCCGGACGAGAGAGTGAGGCTGTTAGTAGAATATGAAGATAAGCATGATCTATTCTAACAAGATGATAGAACAATGTTTAGTTTATAACTAAGTATACTAAGATGGTTTTGATTAGTACTCGAATGATTTACAAGGTGATTTGAACAATTGGGTATCACATTATTCTAATCACTAGAGTCCGGAATAGTAAACACTGAACGTAGCACAGGCGTTGTGCTTTTATTTTGCTTTGACACACGCGCACTTTGCTCACTTAATTGATTTACATTACACTGCACTTCACTGACACTTGGACGAGCAGCTGGCTGCGGGCCAGCCGGCCCCGCGGCCGCCGGCGCCGTGGACCCTCGCCTGCAGCGCCACCACACGGCGGCTGACGCGACTCCCAGCACCAGCGCGAACATCACGTATATTGCCACATAATGGTGGACATCATGATATGAAACGGTTTCTGCTATTGGTTCAGTGCGTTTCATTTGATCTAACTGCTGTCGAATTTCTTGCAACTGAAGATAATGGGTCATGTTATCAGTTTCATTGATTGATGTAACTGTTTCTGGTAGAGATAGATTGAAGATACGGTTTATAGGCGAAATCTCCGGTGCTTCTATCTTGGGGCTGATACTCAATTTACTCGTCTCTTGCTTATGTGAATAAACGAGGAAATCAGCGGATTTGATTATACAACCTTGACTCATTGTAAATAGGCCAGCGTCGGTCAATTGCACTACGGTAACCTGATCTTCGCATAGCAACTTCAACTGACACTGACTGCAGCAATAATAAAAATAAGTATTTATTTTATGTAGTTCGCTCCATTTATTGAAACATGGACTGGTGATTGATTGGCAACTTCTTGATTCTGGTAATCTCTCACACAGGCTGTGGTCATCTTGAATGTGATGTATAGGCTTTCTTATGTGACAGAGAGATATTCCTGAAGCCTTGTTCAGGCACATGTCGAAATCTTTTTCAGAGAGTGGTACGAAAGCATCCTTTTTTACGTTGATAGCCACATACTCAGCTATAGGTATTATGGTTTTTTGGTTATGGTTTTCTGATAAACGAGGTATTGGTATTGGTCTTAAGACTTCATACATGTCTCTGCTAATAAGTGGGATCTTGATCTCGAATATGATAAAATTGTAGGTTACTCGAGTCCGCACTTGTAACAAATTGTATATGTCTGAAAAGTCATAGTTATCGACTGGTAATGAGAGATCTTTTGGGAGCTGACCTGCTATAACGTTCAACTCCTGTCTTACTTGGTCTGGCGTCAACAGGTGAAAATTGAACTTGCCATTATAAATGTTTGTTATTGTATCCAATAATGTCTGTTGGATATTTTTGAGGCTGCTCAATAGATTATTTGCCATCAGGGCAGTGCTAAGAAATTCTGTTGTTAGTGATATGTTATGAACAGCAATGTTTACTTCACGTACTGCATTTTCAATTTGATTAATCCTTTTATTGATTATTTTGTGGTGTTTATCCATAATGCTTTCTGTGCGTTTTAAAAGGTTGAATTCAGCCTCTACGACCGAGGTTTGGTTTTTCCACAAGGATGCTAGATGCTTCTGGTTATCTTTGATGAGCTTGATATCCTGTAAGTACTTTTGTGCGAAGCGTTCATCTAAGACTCCAAAAAGACTGTTAGCTACATATCCGATACCGTCTATAAGGCCGCGACGGCGGCGCGTGCGCGTATCGGGTTTCTGTTGCATTAAAATGTTATTGTAATATTGCAGTTCCGCGAACTCGTGTTGCACTTGTAACATTATCTCGCGGCAATGCGATTGTTCTTTTATCTCCGAACACAAGTGGTCGAGATACTGAATGTATTTACTCAGTGTCGTGTTACCGTCTTGATAAGGAGTAGTATCGTAGTAGACTACTAAGCGCCAGTCGTCTCGAATTAAATGCATGTTCGTAATGCTATCGAAATAAAGGCTATTGTTCAGTAGCGGGGTTACGTTATACGAACTTTGTGCTGGACATATTATTGTCATGAAAATTAATAATACAGCTGTGGTTAGGGACATTAAGCTGTATGTTTTCTTGTTGGAGTGTGATGAACTTGTTTTTGAATGATTACTTGGGACTTGATTGCTTGATTGTTGTTCATTTTCTTGATCATGGACTGGTAGTACAGACAGTTTTACAATTGGTCGCTGTAAAAGTCCATTTTTTGTTTTGAGTGTAACGACTCTGACATATCCATCGCTCCCTGGGTGAAGCTGTACAACCCGTCCCAAGGGCCATTTCCCGGGAGGAAGATTGTCGTCTCTGATCACTACAACGTCGTTTTCCTTGATATTACGTTGTGGCTTCCTCCACTTGCTTCTTGCTGCTAGTAGAGTAAGGTACTCATTAGACCAACGATCCCAAATATCCTTGTATATGCTTTGGGTTAGATGCCATCTGGTTCTCAAATCGGTTTCTGTGTTGTATATGGTTAGTGTGGGACCACTTGCTAGGAAGTGAGCCGGTGTGATGGCGTCTATGTCGTTGGGGTCTTCTGTTAAAGAGCATAGCGGTCTAGAGTTCAAACAGCCCTCTAGTTGAGTTAGGATGGTGCTGTACTCTTCGAATGTGAGCATTTGTTCACCAATGACACGCTTGAGATGGTATTTTAGGCTTTTAACGGCAGCCTCCCACAGCCCACCTGCTGACGGCCACGAAGGAGCGTTAAAATGCCACTCAATGCCCATGCTAGTCACCTCTGATAGAAAATCTTGGTTGATGATATCACGCAATGCATCATATTCTTGTTGGAGGATCTTGTTGGCTCCTATGAAGTTACGGCCTTGATCGCTATAGATGTGAGCGGGCACACCTCTTCTTGCGGCCATACGACGCAGTGCTGACAGAAAGGCTGACGCTGTTAGATCCGAAACTAACTCCAGATGTACAGCCTTAGTAGCCATGCATATAAACACAGCTACGTAGCCCTTTGTGGTTTTGATGCCACGGCCCTTGTTGGCTTTAATCATGACATGACCGGTGTAGTCCACCCCTGTGTGAAGAAAGGGGCGCGACGGGTTCGATCTGGATGGCGGCAGGTCGCCCATTAATTGGTTTTGTTGATCAGGATTATGTTTTCTACATTTTATACAAAGACGTAGACGTTTTTTCGTTGCTCTAATACCACCGATGAGCCAATATTTACGCCTCAAGATTGATGTAGTTAGGCGTGGCCCGCCGTGATACGTGAGCTCGTGTGCTTCATCAATTAGTAGATCTGCTAATCTTGTGTTACTAGGGATGATAGCGGGATGTTTTGTTTCTTGGTCGATATTGGCATGTCTCAGCCGGCCGCCGACTCGTAAGACGCCATTTTGATCTAATATAGGGTTGAATGCTATCAACTTACTTTTGCAGTTAATCGTCTTGTTTGCTTTTAAGCAGTTTATTTCCTCTATAAACTCCTCCTTTTGTACTTCTTTCACTATCATTTCTCTTGATTGGCGTAACTCCTCACATGATAAATAATCTTGTTTCTTGTTTCTTCTGATGAATCTCAGGACCCATCCCAATATCTTGATAGCTTTGGGTAAGGAACTGGTTCTTGTCAGAAGGTCCTTGATAACATTGTTGTTGCATGTTTGTGCAACATTTACAATTGATTTCTTTTTGATTTCTAGGTCAGTGGTGTATTTTGTTGAATCATCATTTGTAGGTTGGTAAGTTGATAGCCATTCGGGGCCTTGCCACCAGAGGGTTTGATCATTTAGTTGAGAAGCTGTGTGGCCTCGGCTGGCGCAATCGGCGGGATTTTCTTTTGATTTAACGTAATGCCAGCAGTCCGATGGCATTATGGCCGTTACTTGCTTCACTCGATTGGCCACAAAGGGTCTCCATCGTTCAGCGTCGCCGTTAAGCCATCCCAGGACAGCCATTGAGTCCACCCAGCCGTAGATCTTGATATCGTAGCTGCTGAGGCATGTCTTGACTTTGGCCATCAATTTTGATAATAACACTGCACCACTTAACTCTAGACGTGGCAATGATACCACTTTATTAAGGGGAGCAAGTTTCGATTTTCCTGCTACCAGAGTTATTGATTTTCTGTTATCTTGATCGATTCGACAGTAAATGACACAAGCAAAGGCTTTCATGCTTGCATCACAGAAACCATGAAGTTCTATGAAGTCTGATTTTAGTGTTCCTATCCATCGCGGAATTTGGTAGTTACCAATCGCTTCTATATCGTCCTTGATTTTAACCCATTCCTCTTGTAAGTCCTTAGGTATTTGGTCGTCCCATTGAATGTTTGCTTTCCATGTATCTTGAAACAATATTTTCATCTTGGTAGTAACAGGAGCGAGCCAACCTAAAGGATCATAGAGTCTTGAGATGTCAGATAAGAGCGATCGTTTGGTAGGCCATGGTGATTCTTGATTTATTTTAGATTGAAACGTGAAGGTATCTGATTTGGGATTCCAGCCAAGCCCTAAGGTCTTTGTGGANTTAGTGGACTCTGCTTGCTTGAAATCAAATATATCTTGATTGTTTTCCTCGATGCTGACGCCTTTCTGGTTCTGGTTTTATTACACTCCAGAGCATGACACTTGCTGAGCGGTGGCCAATTTTGGTTCTAACTTATACTTGTTTTTTGTTATCTTATTCTGTGTGTTATATTTTTAAGTTTGAACCAAATAAATGTTTTTCTTTCTTTCTTTCTTTCTTTCTTTCAGTAATTCAGGTGAGTTGGATTTCCACTTCCTTAGGTTAAATCCACCTGAATTAAGAAGGTTAATCATGTCTGTTTGTAATTGTTTAGCGGTTGTTATGGAGTGTTCACCATGTATGAGATCGTCCATGTAAAAGCACTCCTCTAGAACACTTGGCNTTTGTGGACTCCGCTTGCTTGAAATCAAATATATCTTGATTGTTTTCCTCGATGCTGACGCCTTTCAGTAATTCAGGTGAGTTGGATTTCCACTTCCTTAGGTTAAATCCACCTGAATTAAGAAGGTTAATCATGTCTGTTTGTAGTTGTTTAGCGGCTGTTATGGAGTGTTCGCCATGTATGAGATCGTCCATGTAAAAGCACTCCTCTAGGACACTTGGCGCAGAGCTTTCTTGGTAGTTCTCCTTTTCATCTCTAGCTAACTGCTTGAGTGTCATCATAGCTAGAAATGGGGCCGCCTTGGTGCCGTAGGTAACCGTTGCTAACTGGTAAACTTGTAATTTTTGTGTTTGATCATTTCTCCAAATTATTTTTTGTAATTGTTGATCTTGATCGTGAAGCCATATTTGCCTAAACATTTTTTCAATGTCGGCCGTAAATGCAAATTTGTATTGTCTCCACTTGATTATGAGACTTTGCAGGTCTTGTTGTAAATTAGGACCTCGACACATCACGTCATTTAAACTTTGTCCACTTGATGTTTTTGCTGATGCATTAAAAACGACACGAAGTTTTGTCGTCGAGGATTCCAGTCGCGTGACGCAATGATGAGGTAAATAACATTCGAGCCTCGAATTGCTGTCAGCGATTTCAGGTTTCATGTGTCCAAGCGCTAAATAATCGTTAATAAATAACTTGTAGTCTTGTGCAATATCTACTTGTTTGTTGAGTTTTTGTTCCAATGAATAAAATTGACCGATAGCCTTGTTTTTTGATGTACCTAAACTATCTTGATAATTAGGTTTCATCGGCAGCCTGACTTGGTATCTGCCGCTTTCTTGTCTAATTGTTGTTGTTTGATAATATTCAATGCATCGCTGGTCTTCAGATGAAACGTCAGAAGGCTCTGAAATATCTTCCATCTCCCAGAACTTTTGAATGTCGTCGAGATTATGTATGACGACATTGCATTGAAATGAAGTAACGTTACCGCTCAGTATCCAGCCCAACCGTGTTTGCTGGGCGGTCGGTAAGGTTGAATTTGCTCTGCATAAACCATCTAATAAAATGGTCGAATATATGTCGGCACCTAACAGGACATCTACAGGACGATTAATATAAAATTCGGGATCTGCTAATGATATATTGTCGAGGTAGGACCAATCTGGTTTTGAAAAGGTACAACTTGGTAGATTCTTGACTAAATTTTTCATGATCAATGCATCTGTTTCAAAGGTGAAGTCGTTGGCTACAGACATACACTTGAGGCTAATCATCCCTTTGCAGCTGCTTTCATTATTGCCAACGCCTGATATCACACCCTTGCATTTTTTCCTTGGTAATCTCAATAATTGAGCTGCGTGCTCAGTGATCAAAGAGATTTGCGAGCCTTGATCTAGGAGGGCACGCATTGTATGGTAAGAGCCATCCGCTGATTGTATTTTGATAATCGCGGTTGGCAATAATATTTCTATTGGTTCGTTTGGTAGTGACACGTGCGAGCTACCTTTTACTTGTTTTCCTGNTTTCCCTGAGTTAGCGTTCGCGCTTGTCGCACTCCCCGCCCCCGCACTTGCACCTCCGCTGACCGTTTCCGCTGTCACATTACACGATTGCGTAAATGCTTCATGCAATAAGCTATTATGCTCCTTATTACATTCGCGGCAACGATTACTTGATAAGCATGCTTTATTTCCATGGTAATTAAGACAGTTTAAACATATATTGAGTTTTGAAAGGAATTTGCGTTTGTTAAAAGGCGACATTTCTAAGAATTTCGGGCAAAAGTATATTCCATGATCATCACTTTTGCATACCGAACACCTGTATCTCGCTGTTGTAGGTCTATAGTTTTGTGTTTGTTGGTTTACACTGGAAGAGAATGCATTCTTGTTGAACTTTTGAAATTGAAACTGGTTGCTATTATGATTTTTCGTGTATCCTTGGTTTGATGATGTTCCTGAATTTTTAGGCGTAGGGTTGTCTTGTTTCCTACGCGATGATTCAAGAGTAGTGAACTTAGCCTCCAGAAAGTCTAAAAACTCCTTTAACGTAGGCAGTTCTCTCGGCTGTTTTAGTGATTCAACGTAGTCCATGTATGAATCTGAATCTAATTTTTGTGACAGAATGTGGACAATCAGAGGGTCCCAGGTACTGATGTCTACTCCTAGGTTTTTTATTGCATTAAGACAGCTCGAAGGACCAATGTTCGGGTTGCCCCGAAACAAGATGTTAAATGATAAAACTTGATTTAGATAAAAAAGACTTATATTTGCACTTGAACTTATGTTAATGAATGAGTACGCGCGGCGCTCTTGATGGCTCAATGCGAACTGATTTGTTGAATGAAATATGAAATATCGATGAATTAGGTTAACGCGCAAATTGATGAGTTTACATAAATGTACGTAGCTTGCTCGTACACATACCATCTTACATAATTTAACTTTTTTGGCTTGGGGGCCGTTCAAGTATTACGTAAGCAGATTTCTTACCATTTTTTACCCCCCCGCCCCCCTTGTCATCAAAAGTAAGCAAAGCACTTACCCCCTCCCCCTATGCTTACGTAAAAATTTTTAGTTATAAATGTTTTTTATATTGTCATTTTTAAAATAGGAAAATTCATGAAAATTTTATTTTTTTTTATTTTATTTTTTTATGATTTACACTGCGCCGCTAGTCCCAAACTAAGCAAAGCTTGTACTATGGGTAATAGTAAACAATATGCGGACTACGACTCTCAAATTTCAATGGGCAGTTTCGACACGAGAGTTAATTACTAGACAAGTGAATAGCGCACGGTAATTTCCCTAATGTGCGGTAATTCCCCTAATCAGTTCTCAAAGCGAGTGGCTAAGCATATGTATTATTTGCGGGAATCCCCGAAAAAACGTTAATAACTAACGATGACGTAATCATCATCCAGACCCCCCTACCCCCCATGTCATCCAAAATAAGCAAAACAGAGACCCCCCCACCCCCCCTTGGTGCTTACGTAATACTTGAACGGCTCCTTGTTCCCAGTACTATACCTCAATTGTACCTAAATAAACATGTTTTCCGCATGAAAAACTAAGGCAATGATTGCAAAATCGAATAAAAATCAATATAAATTAAATAACTTTTAACTGTAACTTTGTTCATAATTGTAATTTTTAAGTGTACATGTTGTAATGTAACAATGTTAGTAGACCTAATATAATAATAGTAATAATAAATAAATAAATCATGATTTTTTTCCACCCTGCCGCTCACGCACCGCTCTGTTGCAGGACATGTGCTCGTCGGCGCACTCGGCGCTGTCGCACCTGTCGCAGCACTCGGCGCTGGCCGACCGGCGCCACTAGCGCGCCCCGCCGCGGCCCGACCCGCGTCCCGTTCTACTTGATTGATATTTTTTTAGTGATTAAGAAATGTAACCCGATGTTTGGAGATCCTGCTTGTGGACGTGTCGATTGATTTTTTTTTACTGCGCGGCCTCGTTCCGGCGCGCCCGAAAGTGTCTCCCGACCGCGCGACCCCGGACGGAGTCGAACCGACGGGCGGAAAACGTGACCTCGAGCGTTTTCCCGCCGTCGTGCGAGCGGTCGCCTCGCGCTCGACGACGCCCGGGAGCCGTTCCGAACCTTCGACCCGAGACGCGGCCGCGTGTCGAATTTGTGTTCGGGCGATGACGGACGTTTGGGCTCCTACGAGAGAAACCGAAACCGCAGATTCCGCTGTCCGACTGAGTCACATTCTGCCGGAAGAAATTCTCGAATGTGATATCTAGTGCATTTCTTCCTGAGCGAAACGCGACTCGTGTGAACGGTGTACGTGATGCGAACGCTTGAAAACCCAGTCTATGTATATGAATTGGAGCTGGCTTTTCTAGCGTTTATAGGGAACAGAGTAAAAAATAGAGTCTTGTGAGATATTTCATAAGAAAGGGTGTTGAAATTCTTAGTGTCAAAGCCCACGCCGCCCGGATCTGCCGCGACGCCGCCGAACGCGTCGCGACGCTCGCGTGTATTTCCTTTTTGTATATATTAAAGTTAGGATCGAAAATTACTTAAGTCTTTTATTTCAACACCATATTATCCTCTACTTAAACTCGCAAAAAAAATGTTATATCTATACAGGGTGTCCCAGAATGGGTGAATCAAACTGATAGGGGAGGTAGCTCTACTAATGTACAATCCCTAATAAAATTACGGGTCTCAACGTGTATTGTGTATGTACCACGACTGTAGCTTTTCGATTGCCACAAGGTTACTGAGAGGCGCCTTTGTAACATCGTTTTCTGATTTACGAGAAGATAGGAACAGGTTTTTTTTTAAACATTTTCGCCTTTCGATGAGATCTTTCGACGAATTACTATACAAATTGGAAAGTACGCTACTGCGATCCAGTGTAAATCGTATCCCCATATTACCAGCCGAAAGACTGGCGATCACTGTAAGGAGTCGTAAGGTTAGTAAATAAAAGAATTTACAGGGTGTTTGGCGGAAGGTTAGACAAACTTCGTGGGTGTATAGGTAAGGTCATTTTAAGAATACAAGTTCGCCCATTTGACCCTAAGTGAGCTACTTTTTTTTATTGATATTTTTATTTTTCCAAAATTTGACCTAAAAACTGCTTCAATATTTTTTCTGGCGTATTTTCAACCGCTTTTTTTATTTGATATTAATATCGAATATGTCTTTCTTTAGTCAAATAAATTAAATTTCCAGTGATTGGATAGCTAGGTAGTTACGAGCCGCCAAAGTTTAACAAAAGTACATACCACGATAAAAAATTCAACTTGGATTTCGATTAAAAAAAAAATTAAGGTGATAATGGATTGCCTGACCCTGTGGATTGCCAATGATCTTAAAAACATCTCTAGCTTCTCTTCTTTCCAATGATAATACAGGGTGGAGTTTTGTAATGCCACCTGGAGGGAAAGTACTCTTAATACTGTAGACTAGCTTTGGTCGCCCGCTACGCGGGCTACAAAAGCTAGATCTGCGATGCTGGCCGCTCCGGGCTTCGCCCTACGCGGCGCTCGGCCTGCGGCCTCGCATTCGGAGCTCGGCCTTCGGCCTCGCAAAAATTACACGGGGCGTTATCGTTAGTCGCAAGGCTCTTTTGCTTTTTTGACGCAATACAAGTAAATCTATGGCGACTGTGGGGATTTGAACCNTTTTCCTGAGTTAACGTTTGCGCTTGTCGCACTCCCCGCCCCCGCACTTGCACCTCCGCTGACCGTTTCCGCTGTCACATTACACGATTGCGTAAATGCTTCATGTAATAAGCTATTATGCTCCTTATTACATTCGCGGCAACGATTACTTGATAAGCATGCTTTATTTCCATGGTAATTAAGACAGTTTAAACATATATTGAGTTTTGAAAGGAATTTGCGTTTGTTAAAAGGCGACATTTCTAAGAATTTCGGGCAAAAGTATATTCCATGATCATCACTTTTGCATACCGAACACTTGTGTCTCGCTGTTGTAGGTCTATAGTTTTGTGGTTGTTGGTTTACACTGGAAGAGAATGCATTCTTGTTGAACTTTTGAAATTGAAACTGGTTGCTATTATGATTTTTCGTGTATCCTTGGTTTGATGATGTTCCTGAATTTTTAGGCGTAGGGTTGTCTTGCTTCCTACGCGATGATTCAAGAGTAGTGAACTTAGCCTCCAGAAAGTTTAAAAACTCCTTTAACGTAGGCAGTTCTCTCGGCTGTTTTAGTGATTCAACATAGTCCATGTATGAATCTGAATCTAATTTTTGTGACAGAATGTGGACAATCAGAGGGTCCCAGGTACTGATGTCTACTCCTAGGTTTTTTATTGCATTAAGACATTCTAATGTCGTATCATGGACGCGTTTGATGTGGTTAGATGAATGTTGTTGTGCTGTTGGAAGATTTAGTAGGATGGTTACTTGTGACGTAAATAACAATTTCTTGTTGTTGTACCGTTGGTTAAGAATTTCCCAACAGGTAGTGTAGTTATCTGAGCTCACAGGAAGATGATGTATTAACTTCTCGGCCTCGCCTCTTACCTTGGTTTTTAGATATTGCATTTTTTGTGCATGCGACATGGTCGGATTGTTGTGTATAATTTCGGTAAAGAGATCCTTAAATGAGACCCAGCTGTTATAATTGCCACTGAAGGTCGGTATTTCTATTAGTGGCGTTGATTTTTCCCTGTGCGCCAGAGACCACATTTTCTGATTAATTTCTTTCTTGATTTTGGTATACTTTCTCTCATAACTTGAAAAAGCATCCTCGTATTGTTTGTTAGACTCATCCAACTCGCTGTCTAACTCCCAGTGTAGGGAATCTATAGCAGACCAACGAGCCTGGAGAGTTCGTAACATGTCGTCAAATTCCCATTTTTCTGTTAAGGAATCTACGTCTATGTTTGATATGGTTCGATGAAA